TCTATAATTGCTACATATAAGTAATGGCTATGCAGGTGTTCATTAAACAGTTCTCTCTACATGTCAGTACATTTGAAATTTAATATTAAAAATGAAATGTAAACGGAAGTCTTCATTCCTTATAAACAACTCTCAAGTTGACTTCCTTGCACAATTGAGTTTGAAAGAAAAATATAATTCTTAGCTTTTGATTATGGTCATTTTACTTTTGGCCTCATCTTAGCATAATAGGCACAACAATTTATTCAAATAGGTGGAAGGACACAGCAATTTAGTCTTCTTCTCCTGTCTCCCCGTGATGACTCTCATTTTGCCCTTCCCAAATTCATTCAGGCCTATGTGGAATGTATAGGACTCATGTTGTCCAGAACACTCAGCAAAAGGAAGAAGGCAGCAGATGGGGTGCTCACAAACAGCGTGTGTGCATAAGGCAACTCATCTTGCCAACTAATTGAGTTCAGGTACCTGAAGAATAGATCCCTGGTGTGACCTCCCCTACCCTCTGCACAGGATCAGATTACTGACTGCCCACCACCACAACGTCTGACATTGCCATGTCCTTGGAAAACTCTCACTCCTGAATCAGTTGTCTGAAACATTTTTTATTTATTGTTTTAGTTAGTTTCAGGTGTATTAGACATTTAAACCCCTCATAAAGTGATAAACCACCCCCCAAACTACTACCCTTATGACATCTTATATAGCTGTTACAATACCATCAACTATCTTCCCTATGTTGTACTCCACATCCCATGACTATATATACCCATATATTTAATTATAGTTGACATTTAATATTATTCTACTTCAGCTTCAGTTGTATAGCGCATTGGTCAGGCATCTACACAGTCCATGTATGATGTGATCCCCCTGATAAGTACAGTGCCCATCTGGCATCTTACATGATCTTTACAAAACTGTTGATTATATTCCCCATACTGCATAAACTATCAATTTGTATTTCTTATTACCTTCACCTTTTTTGCCCTGCCCCCAACCCCATTCCCATCTATCACCCTGATAGATTTTGTACCTACCTGGCATCATACCTAGTTATTACAATATTATTCACTATATTCCTTATGCTATAACCTACAACCCCATGACTACTGTTAAACAACAAATTTGTGCTTCTATAATCCCTTCCCCTTTCACCCATCCTTAATCCCTCTCCCATCTTAAAGAAGCCCCTCTAAGAGTCCTTGTAATACTGGTTTGGTGGTGATGAACTCCTGCAGCTTATTCTTGTCTGGGAAGTTCCTTATCTGTCCTTCAATTCTAAATGACAGCCTTGTTGGGTAGAGCTAACTTGGTTGTATGTCATTGATTTTCATCATTTGGAATGTTTCCTGCTGGTCCCTTCTTGCCTGCAAAGTTTCTGTTGAGAAATCAGCCGACAGTCTTATGGGAGCTGCCTTATAGGTAACTAACTGCTTTTCTCTTGCTGCTTTTAAGATTCTCTCTGACTTTAACCTTAGGCATTTTAATTATGATGTGTGTTGGTCTTGGCCTCTTTAGGCTTATCTTGTTTGAGACTCTCTGTACTACCTGAGCTTGTATGTCTATTTCTGTCACCAGGTTAAGGAAGTTTTCTGTCATTATTTCTTCAAATAGGTTGTCAATTCCTTGCTCTGTCTCTTCTCCCACTGGTACCCCTATAATGTGAATGTTGGTATGCTTGATATTGTCCCAGAGGCCCCTTAAACTTGCTTCAATTTTTTGGATTCTTTTTGTTATTCTGGCTGGGTGTTTTCTGCTACTTTATCTTCTACATTGCTGGTTCGATCCTCTGCTTCATCTAATCTACTGTTGATTCCTTGTAATATATCCTTCGTTTCTGTTATTGTATCATTTAGTTCTGACTGGTTCTTTCTTATGGTTTCCATCTCCACTTTTATGCTTCCTATCTCTCTGTTGAAGTCCTCCCTGAGATCATTGAGCATTCTTATAACCAGTGTTTGAAACTGCATCTGATAGATTGCTTATTTCTGTGTCACTTAGTTCTTTTTCTGGAGCTTTGTTCTGTTCTTTTATTTGGGACATGTTTCTTTGCCTTGCCATTTTGGCTGCCTCCCTATGTATGTGTCTATATATTAGGTAGGGTGGGTCTGTCTTCCGGTCTTAGTAAAGTGGCCTTATGTAGTAGGTGTGCTGTGGGACCCAGTGGCACAGTCTTTCTGGTCACCTAAGCCACACACTCCAGGTGTGTCCCTTTTGTGGGGTGTGTGTGTCCTCCTCTTATAGTTAAGCCTTGGTTGATAATTTCACATCAATGTAAGGGACTGACCCTTGGGCTCACTTGTTGTGATGACTGACTTTGACTTCAGTGGAAGAGTTGTTGTGCAGGGGCTGATCCTATGGAGCAGGTTCTGCCTGAGAAGGACTCTGGTGTCTGCCCAATCCTCCCCTTGGGTGTGTTGTACTTGGAGACGCCTGGGCGATGCTCCAGCTCATTTTGAAGCTGACCGCTGGGGGCACCAGCCCCAGGACCACCTTGGAGGGGATCTGCTGTAGGTCAAGTTCAGCCACAGCCCATGCTCCACCCAGGGCCACCTGGCAGGAGCCACAGATGGCTGCTGCCCATGCTGTGTTTGGAAGCCACCTTGAGAGGCCAAGCCATGAGCCAAGGCTGGCTGTCGCTAGTGCCAGCTTAGGGCTGCTCATCCAGAGTTACAGGACACACTCAAAACAGATGCTGCTTGTCCGGCTTCCGCAAACCTTTGAGAGACCCTAGAAAGCCTGCAGCTTGAGACAAAGCAGGCAATCCACACGAAAAAGCCACTGGAAGCAGTCTGGGTGTGATAAAAAGTTGGGCAGGGCCAGGTCTCGAATCACCAGGGCATGGCCAATGATTGGGGGACACTCAGATATGGTGGCCACTTGCATCCACATGCCAGGAAGGGGGAGAGATCAGCAAAGAAAGAATGGCTTCCACCAGCTCCCCCATTCAGGAGAAAGCCATCTCTCCAGACCCCATCCCAAGTCAGACAAGCCAGTTCCCCACCGTATGTCCCTGCTGCCTTTCCAGCCACTGCCCCACTACTGGAGCTCAGAGTGAGTGATTCCATTGGTGGGTAAGTCCGCATGCAGCCCCTTTCAAAGGAGCACCTGGGAGTGCAGCCACCCTCAGTCTCACGCAGTCACAGTCTCCACTGGTTTTCACAACCAGAAACTATTGAGACTTCTCTTCCCAGCACTGGAACCCTGGGCTGGGATCTCTCACTCCTCTAGGGGGTGGGGGTGGACCCCCATAGTTGAAATATCCCTCCTGATCTTTAATGGTCACATGCGGGTGTGGGACCAGCCCATTCAGCGTCTCTGCCTCTCCTACCAGTTTGGAGGTGGCTTCTGTGCATCCTTAGTTGAAGGGCTTCAGTTCAGCAAGATTTTAGGTGATTCTCAATAATGGATTAATTGTAATTTTGATGTGGTTTTGAGAGAAGGTAAGCACAGCGTTTACCTACTGGACCATCTTAGTTGTCCCACTCACACATCATAATGTCTATTTTCATGGCGAGACCTGATTGTCAGATGAATTTTTTAATTGTAGGAATAGGCAAAGTAGATTTTTTTTCATCTTTTCCACCCTACCAATCTTGACCAAGAAGGAAAATTATGAACCTTTTGAGATTTAATGTATTCCATAACTTCTATTTTAAGTAGATCAAGAACTGAAGAAAGGCAAATGTGAGAAATGTTTGTAAAGGCAACCAATGACTGGCAGGTATTTTTTATAAAGAAAAACAGTTAATTTGCTGTGAAGGAAAATGAATAATATACTAGCTGTTGGAATTGTTTAATAATAGCACTCATGATACATTAATTGCTATTCTAAATAACATATGGCACAGAGGCAGAAAACGTAAGCTGTTAAATAGAACTGTGTATGGTCTGTGGTATGCCCTATGGCAAACTGCTGCTAACAAATCACCAACCATATTTCCTCTTTTTTTCTAAGCACACAGATACCTGGTATTTTCCTGTCCCCTTTGTGTTTACATGTTCCACAGGACTTCTGATCAGTGGAATGTGGGTAGGAGTGATGTATGTCTCTTTCACGCCTGACCCCTACAGCTTTCATACCTGCAATGCTTCATTTTTCTTCTGCTGATTGAATGGAGAGGATGCTGAGGACCTAAGAGGTGGAAGAGGCCACAAGATGGACAGAACCACTGCTGCTTGGAGGAGAGCTGCCTGACCAAGAACACCCACACTAGACTGTGGCAGAACTGTGCACAGCCTCCCATGTTTAGGCAGGTAAATTATGTGCAAATGGCTAAAAATGCTCTGCCTATAAGCGGAGAACTGAAGTCACTTGACCAGTTGACCTTACTTCAGAATTAACTTACAAAAAGAGGGGGTGGGGTCTTTAAAATTCACAACAGGCTTCTTCCAACATTTAAAAGTACCACTTATGGGAAAATTGTTTTCTTTGTTATGTTTAACTCAAGACAGAGGTAGTAACATCTGCACTGATAATGACAAAATCTGGTGACACTCTAGTTATTTTATTATAGCTTGACATTTTTGGTTCAGATTTAATCTGGTCATTTGCAGATAAAGTAGGAAAGATCATGCAAATGGCCCTAACATACTTATCAAACAATCTTTTACAAAAACTTTTTTTTATTTGTGATCCTAGCTCTGGAACAAATATCTTAAGTCATTTACACAATCCCGTCTCATTAGGGAAGATGGATATCCCTGAAGATCTGAAAAACTGACCTAATGGTTTAGAAATGTTTAGCAGTTCTTCTGTGGGAATGAAGAAGAGCCAATTAGCATTCTCTAATTCCTCAAAGACAATCAGCAATAAGTTTTAACCATGAGGTTAGACCTTGTCAAATTCTTTTTTTCCTTGAATGAAAGTCATTAATATGAATTAATCCAAGTTGTTCAGTGCTCTAGGTTCTACTCACTTGAATTTTGCTATCCTCCCCAAAAAGATATTTAATAAAAGGGTGCCAAATTAGACAGTAATGGGATGCGTCAGACAAAAATGACATTAAATGCTTTTTATTGAACAAAAAGATAAAATATGGAAGTTGAATTCACTGGATGAAAGTAGCTTGCCGGGTGAAGCTGCTATACTTTGTGCTAAATAACTTTATGAACTGAGAGTATATAGAAGACATACAGTATGGAAGTTACCTCAAGAGCAAAGGAGAAGGTGTAGTTTATACTTTGGGAAGGTAAAATTTGGTCAAGTGACAAATTTAGTTGCTCAAAACTTCTAGCCTTTATCCACTTAATTCAGTATGATTCCACATATGAGCATTCAGTGCATACTGAATTCCCATTTTAAATGAAGCTGCATTTTGGAAGAAATATATTTTTTTACATTTATTTGACATGCCACTCAAATTTTGTATTTGATATTTGTATGTGTGTATGTATTTATACACACTTTAAAACCCTTGTTTATAAGTCATGCTGCTTTTAAAAATTAATATTGGTGAATTATAGTTATTATTTCTTCTGTGCATCTAAGAAACTTCATGTGTTCTCAATGCACCCACACAGACAAGTAGGTTGACAGATATGTCAAAAATACTTTATGAAAACAGGAAGGTAGCTCATGCAAGTCAGCAACCTTTTGTGTATTGTTTTCTGTGGGAGCAGGCTGCCTCCCTTTGACACCTTACAGTCAAGATGAAAGGAATACTTTTTACTTTGAAGTCTAGTTAGCACAGTTGTACGTTTACTATAATCCACCTTCAACTTGGTTTTTTGGGCTTTCCAATGTAAGATAACAAATACTCAGTACACAGCATCAAAAAAGTACTGAAGAAACATTTTAAAGATAATACCTTGGTTGTTTTTTTCTTTTTCTTTTTTTGTATGTTAAACATCAGCTTCTATGTGATACATTTCCAGAATGGTTTTGTTACCACTTATTAACACTCTAGGCCAAACAAACAGCACAAATAACATCAACATCGTCTTTTTTCCAATATCTGTATCAATTACTGAAGGCTAATCTTAACATACACTAATTAAGGGGGAGAGGCAAAAGAGGAGAATCCATGACACATTGCAAAGACAGGACTACAGCATCTTAGTTGTAGGGGTGATCTTAAGGTGCAGAAAGAGGAGACTCTCTAGAAGGTGATGGTGTGGTTTCTTCAGGTGGAAAAACCGTGAGTGTGCAAGCTCGGATGCCACCCAGGGACTCTGGGAGATCAAAAACCTTATGCCATTCATCTTTATCGGGATCATATTTCTGCACTATCTCCACCATACAACGATTATTCCAGGAATACCCACCAACCACGTAGATTTTATTTTCAAAGACAGCAACCCCAACATCACTTTGCCCTCTTAACATGGCAGCAATTGGGGTCCACTGGTCAAGGATAGGTGAGTAGTATTCACAGCTTAGGACATCATCATAATCACTTGTTCCTCTGAAATGATTGCCACCAATGACATAGAGCCTTTCTCCCACTGTACACATGCAATGCAGACCTCTGACAGTGGTCATCGGCGCCTTCTGGATCCATTTGTCAGTATCAGGGTCAAAGCACATGAGTTCCTTTTGAAAAGTGTCATGAGTAATTCCTCCTAGAGAATGAAAATAATAGGCAAGAGGTAAACAGATCATTATACAAATGCAAAAGTAAATAAAAGGCTCTCTGTCATAGATAATTAACTTCTACCCATAATTATGACATTTTAGTTTATCAGTGGTGTTATTAGAAATGTCTGCCTTCTATAAATACCTTCCCTGAATTAAAAATAAAGAAAATAACATTTTCATGGTTTTAAAGGAAAAACATGTAGTTTATATTACTGCAATGACTTTCTCAGAGACCCATGGGATTTAAGAGGCTTAACTAAATGAAAATATATTTTGGTTACTTTTTGAGTTGGGTCTGCAGTAAATCCCAACTACAAAACATCGTTTACTGCCACTGCTTTTCAGTAGGTACCTTTTGGGTGCTGAGTACAGGGCTAGGGCCCTTCAATTACTAGGTGCTCATTTCCTCACTTGCTGAAGAAGAACATCTACTCTAGTTACTTCATTAGGACTGTTACTATGATTATGAATTGAAATAAATAAAAATACTTTGGAAAATTTGAAAGTGCTGTGCAAACGTACAAGCATATAAGAATATTCAGAATTGTTTGTTTTTGTAGAGTTTTGGGTGGATATTTAAAAAGCTAAATAATTAGAATGCTGAATATATGTGGAATTTTGTATGTGCAGCAATCAGTTGTTGATCTATTGTTTCAATATCATCTACAAAGTGTATTTTTAGAAAACAAATAAATTAGTCTCTACATTAAAAGAATCAGACTATATGTTCTGCAGATTAAGGAGAGAACTAAACTAATTTTCAGCCATATCATTCAAAGCTCTACTATCTGGTGGTCAGACAGAAATCACTATTTTTTCTTCTGCTTTTTAATATTTTTTTCCTGTTAATTACAGGACTCCCAGAAAGCAAAACCATATTCTTTTATTTGAAAAGCAGCTATGGTTCCTGTCCTACTCTTGATTGTGAAGGTCATTTGTACAATATATGCTAGTTATGCTAAAGCACCACTAACAATTCAGATGTCATCTTTCCCCTCAGAGGGTTTGGAGCTGTCATTATAATGGCATAGCATCTACACACAGAAAATAGGTAGATGGTATAAATCATTGATTAGTGGAGCATATGATTTTCTGGATGGCTCTTTCAATATAAGACATCCTGAGTTGCACATAAATTTAACACCAGAAACCTGACAATCACATACCACAAGCCTTTCACTGATCCTTCTTGATTATAGATTTTAAAAGGCAGTGTTCAGAGACTCAGACCACAAATGTCACCTTAATGCCTTTGTTCTCTAATAATGTAGCTGCTGGCCTGACACTGGCAGGTTCTCAAAAGGAGAACACACTGTCAGAGGTAGACTGTGTCAGGGCAGAATGATACAAAACTGGCTACCAAACGGAAATTTCAATACCAGGGGTAGACATTACATTAACATAGGACTCCTTCCTAAATTCAACAGAAGGATGATTTAAATACCAACCGTTTGAGAATGAAAGTTGTTATTGGGACACTGGAAGCAAACTGTAGTCCTTTCAGAATTTATTAGAAAAATATATGTGCATGTGGTGAAAATATAGGTAATCAGCACAGAATTATTCATGCAATGACACCATGATAGAATATCATTATAATGCTAAGGAAAAGGGAAACATAGGTTGCACTAAATAAGAGAATGAATATTATTATGCATTATATGTATGAGTATATGAAACCAAGTTTTATGCACAGTGGAACCTATATGTTAATAATGATATATTTATTATAGAGATTAGCTAGATTTTAAATAAAATTGAATTAAGTGCTGCTATAAAGAATATGAATGGGAATAATAAGAGTACAGAGTTTATTAGAGCACAGAGTATGAGAATGGAAAGGCAAGTTAGAGAAACTGAACAATTTCCAATTTCTTTTGAGTTATGTATTTTCAGGAGGATTAGTTTGCTGCTAGTCTTATGAACTTATAGAATACCAAAGCACTCATATGCAAATATATACACACAATATATCTTCTAAATCATCATAAATTATATTTTGATTATCTATTTTCTGGATTATTTTTATCAACACTATATAGAAAGACAGTTAAAAGTTTATGTATTATATTAATTGTATTCATATCATAATTGTCTACCTGAAATATACATTACTCCACCATACACAGTTCCAGCATGGCCATAGTGGGGCTCACTCATTTTGGCAACATAGGTCCATTCATTTGTTCTTGGATTGTAACATTCTACTGTAGCTGTCATTAAAAGAAAGAAAGAATAGAAAAGAAAATGATTTATAATTTCAAATTTAACAATTAATTATATTTTGTTTTAGGTAGAACAATAGTGATATCCAAATAACTAAAACATATTTATTATAGATATGGGATATTATTTGGCATTCTAATATTAATTATTGAGATATTAATTTGAACCATTAATACATGTTACATTAGACTAGATACATAATGCAGTAATCTAATACATTTTTGTCAGTGCAAAAATCACTAGGATTTCTTTTCTTCTAGTATCTTATTACACCTTTATAATTTCACATTTCTCCCAATTTTTGCTCTAAAACTGTGGGAAGATGAAAAAATCGCAAGGAAGAAAAACATTTAAATTTTAGGCTTTTATGTTGATATACCATATAGGAAAAAAAAGGTTACTACATATGAAGCAAAATTTTAAGTTGAGAATGAAGGTATGCATACAGCCTGTGTATGTTCTAATACATGTTGCTTTAGTGGACACTAACAATAATTTTTATACATCTGTACATTAAAGCTAATAGTTTGTACATACTCAACATTGTTGCAGCCAGTACTGCTCTTAATTTGAAGATGATTGGCAGCATAATATGAAGTTAAGATTTTTAATAGGGCTACTCCTCTCAGTAATAAATTTATCATCTTTAAGAAAATACTTTGGAGAAGTGACCTTAACTTCTTTAAATATCAATTTATTATAACCTCAAGAACAGAACAATAACAGTCAAGACAGATAGAAAATGTGAGCCTTTTAAAAAAGGCATACAGTGATACGACTGTTATGAGAACTCTGGTCAAAAGCACAAAGTTTAGATCAACTTGAAAAGTTTATACAATTTATTGCAGACATTGCCAGGTGCCAACCCAATTACTTGTTTCTCCCAATCCTGCATTTTTTCTTACTTACAGAACCACAACACTGCTCAGGTAAGCGCTGTGCCAAACTTAAAATAAAATTCAAATTAGCAAATTCCCTTGAAGCTGGAGTTGACCATAATATACTTTGAGGCAATGAAATAGAAGAAGTCTACTGAGGGTGGCCATTTGATCAAGCCACAGAAATAAGATTTTGCTAATTGCAGCCAAACACAATTCTAACTGATGACTCATCCTTTCAACAGCATTTCCTATTAAAAAATTAACATGAGGGGGCCGGCCGAGTGGCGCGATGGTTAAGAACTGGCTTGGGATGCCAGAGGGCCCCGGTTCGGATCCCACATATGAGGGCCAGTGACACTGCC